AATAATAATAATAATAATAATAATAATAATAATAATAATAATAATAATAATAATAATAATAATAATAATAATAATAATAATAATAATAATAATAATAATAATAATAATAATAATAATAATAATAATAATAATAATAATAATAATAATAATAATAATAATAATAATAATAATAATAATAATAATAATAATAACAATAATAATAATGGTAATAATAATAATAATAATAATAATATTTTATATGTTTTATTAAATATTTTTCACTTATATTTCTTGACTTCCTTTTATTTTACATCTCTCCCATCTATCATCAATCTTTTTCTTGCTTCCTTTCTTTCCTTTTTTTTTTTTGTTAAATGGTAGAAAAATTATTTTTCATCAATATTCACTTCTTTAAAAATAATTCTTCCTATACAATTAATTTCAAAGCAAAATACCATATCATCCAATGCTTTGTATGATTTATCATCAATTGTTTGAGAAAGTAAAATAATAAATGATATGATGAAGAAGGAATTGGAAAGAACAATATTAAATATGAATAGCACCATTGCTGTTGATAAATGTTTATGTGATTTCCACAGTAATAATAATAATGTTACAGTAATAATTAATACCAATAGTAAAAGAAATGTCTCAATATAAAGACCAATTTTAGCAAACCATGCTATACTTCTGTAATTGAAATTTTTAAATTGCTTTCATAAGAAATGCTAAAATTAGCTTCTTAATGTTAAATTGCTTTAAATGATGAATTGATTGTTGTTTGTTGCATTTACAATAACGTAATTTTATTAAATAAAAAGAAAAAAAAAGTTGAGAAATATTTTGAAATAATTTTTGAAAATTAATTTTCATTTAATTTTTATTAAAAAGTTGAAATAATTTTATTGAATAAAAATAAAGTTAAAAATATTTTTTTTTCATTTTTTGAATTAATCAGTATTATCACATTTTAGCACAATACTTCTATTATTGTTATTGTTTAAAAAAGAAAAAAAATTCAAATATATTTTACATTAGTTTCTAAATCATTTCAAATATTAATAATAAATGATTACCGAATTTCTGTACTTGTTTCTGCATGAATGAACAAATTCCTTTCATATGAACAATGATTAAATTTATCATTATCACTCCTTTGTTTATCATAAATAGAATCATTCCAATTGCCATTGATAGTATTATTATTATCATTTTTACTGTCTTCCAAAATGAATTCTTGATTTTCTCGTTGTTGAACACACCTAATTGCATAATTCCATAGATTCTTTTTTTTTTTTTTAAATCTTTAATCTTTAATTTGCCAAAAGATTTTTGAATTCTCAAAAGTAGCACTTAAATTTTTAATTTTTTGATATCAAAAATGGCATTTTCTCATCAAATTTCTCACATAATAATCAATTCTAATATATCTTTTTTCCTTTTTTAAAATTTACTATGTATATGAAAATTGAACACGATGATAAACTTATTCAGATTAAAAAAATTTTTTTTTTCTGAAAATTTTTATATCGAATTTTAAGTTAAACAAATAATTTGTAATTATTCAATAAGTTATGCTAGCTAACATATTAGCTTCATCGAGTTGACGTTGTAATTTGACAGCTGTAATACTGAAAAGTTGAAGATGGAAGCGTGTTTTCAAAATAATTTCCTGCAATCGGCTATCACTGTTAATTGTTGATATGAGATAATTGCTGAAATGATAAAATGTATGTATAATTTGAATATTAACTAACTGACAAATAATTGAAAAATCAATATTTTTATTATTGTTGCTTAGTAAAAATTTTTGGCAAATAATTAATTATTACTTTAATGAATTTATCAATTTTCTTCATTATTATCCTATAATTTCATTTGTGGTAATTGATTTAATTGAAAAAATTCAATTTCTAATTTTTAACCTTAATAAATTCATAAAATATATATCATTAGAGAGTGCTTCACCAAATGATGAATATTGTGGTAATATATTAATGATAAAATCATGCAATGTATTACAATCACTAGCAAAACGTTGAAAAAATGCAATCATTCGAATCAATCGTACTGTTGAATGTCCGGAACACATCTGAAATTCATTTTAAATTTACCGTAATTATATTTTGAAGATTTAAAATCAACGAAAACAAAGAATGATTGATATAAAACGTTTATTTTGACGTAAAAAAAAAAGAAAAAAGGGAATGAAAAAAAAATTATATGATAAAATAATTATGGTAAAATTGATGAAGTGAAATTGAATTAAATTAATGAAATGAATTTAATGAAATTAAAAAAATTAAAATACCTTACTGAGAAGACGTAGCTTATCACCTGGTTTATCTGCATGACAACGTTGAAATAAATCTTTATTTGTATTTCGTATTTGTTGGCAGATAGTGCTTAAAATGATTAAATTTGTTAAAATTAATTCCTCATATTATTTCATTTGAAAAATTGGAGCTATTATCAGTTTTTATAAATTTAGCCAAAACTACCAATCAAATGATTGTTAAGAAAAAAAACATTAATAATAATTAGAATGACAATTAAATTAAAGAGATGGAAAAAATTTAATAATTATAATGAATGTTTTTAGATATTATCAAATGATAATTTATAAATTTTTGAATGAAAGATTGTTAATTAATCATTAAATTTGATCAATGATTGATAATTCTTTCCTGTATTTCTCAAACTTAATTGCTACCTGCGATCGTTATTATTATCTTCAAAAAGCATCCTAAATAAATCTGCATATTTCATTAACCCATAAAGGGCAATATCATTAGTTTGTTGACATACCTGAAAAAAAGAAAAAAATGATAAATTATAAAATTAGCTAATTAATTTTAAGATATTTTCATCATAGGAAAATTTTGGAATTTGAATATTTTAAAAAGATGAGAAAGATTTAATAATCATAATAATTGCTTTCAGATATTATAAAATGATCTAAACATTTAATAAATCGCTTTAAAATTTAATTTTTAAGATTGATTAAAAATTAATTTACAAATTCATAAATGCTTTTTTTTTGTGAATTTTTTCTTGAAGTGCGAAAAATTTTCTGGAAAAAGAAAAAAAAAGTTATTTTAAACCTTAATTTCTTGAAGAAATGTTTGCTAACATTTTTTGGGGGGGAAAAAAAAGGAAGAAAAATTTATTTGAAATGGATTTAAAGGCTTTTAGCAACATTACAATTTAAGTAATGTCCAACTTTTTGATTCCTTTTTTTTTCCTAAGACATTAAAAAAATTTTTCGTTTGTTAATAATGATTGCTTTTTACTTTTATATCTAAGCTTTTAATTAATCATTCATCTAAAAATGTACCAAAGCAAAAGCAGCTCGTGTAATTAATATTTGAAATGTTCGATTATATTGAATTCCAGGTTTCTTCCAATTTAAAACATGATTCACTTCACAGTATTGTAATGCTTGCATAAACCATACTAAAGCAATATGACGTGATGGTACGTGACGTTCAATTTCAGGCCAACATAATGCTTGATGTTGAAATAAACGTTGGAGCTGCAAAATATTACATACATTTAATTTTAATTATTACTTATAATAATTATCATACGAAATATAATCTAGAAAAATAATCAAAGCCATCTTAATTGTTTATTAATTAATTATGATAATTAGTAAAAGATATTTACATTGCTATTTTCCAAAAATTATCACCTGATCATGTTATCATTTTCATATAAATTTATATTTATTATTGTAATAAATTCATATAACTAACAATATATTAACAATTTTCAGTAAATACATATCATGCTAATTTTTTTTTTTTTTTTTGTCTTCCAGAATTCTCAAAATAATTTCATTATTTTTCTCTAATTGCTAAATGATTTATTATAATTCATCTATTAATTAATTAATTAAAAATACATACCAAAGGTATTCCAGAACGATGCATAATTAATTGTCGATTATCCTCAGTACATAATATTGCTAACTTATTATGATCATTAAATGGTGATAACCATTTGAAATTATTCTCTGTGGAATGATAAGCCATCGTATTGGGAAATGAATATAATCGTAACAATAAAAAATGAATGAATACATAATTTTGTCTCATAGGAATTTACACTTATTACTGTAATAAATTAATATAATTAGTATAATTAGTGTAGAAATAATCTTAAGTAATTAGTGAACTAAAAAAAAAAAAGAAAAAAAAAGATTGGACGAATAAAATACCAACAAACTAATAATATATATATATAATAGAATAATGAGAAGAAACTATCCTAACAGATGTTTAATGTATGAAATGTTTGCCCATAAAAGTAATCAGCCAATAACTTCTGGCCTAAGCTGTACCAACTCTTTTCTCTCCCTCTTCTAACTCCATTCTTTCCATTATCTATAATCATTTTAAAAACGTTTCAGTTAACTTTCTTATTTTTTTTTTTTTTCAATAAATTAATGATTGATATTTGTATGTGAAAAATACGTTTTACCTTTTTTTTTGAGAAAAATTGTATGTTTGAATTAAAATAATTGTTTTAAAATTAATTCAAAGTAGTAAAAATTGATTTAAAAAAGTTTTATTTTGTAAAAAAAAAAAAATGATTGTTTATCAGTTATTATTGGTTGGTTTTTTTTTTTTTTGGGGTATTTCATTAATTAAGGTAAGGATTCTTAATTAAAAATAATCTTGGATTTTTTT